TATTTATAATTAATCTAAACTACATTAACCAGCTTGATATTTCCCCTCAAGAAGGGCATGCATATCAATAATGCCCATCTTGCCTAGCAGTGTTCTAAATTGTCTTGGTAGCAAGGCCTTTGTAAGCAAATCTGCTATTTGCATTGTGGAATGAACATATTTGGGACTGATAATGCCAGCAAGAACCTTTTCTTGTATGAAGTGGCAATCAATTTCAATGTGTTTGGTTCTTTCATGGAATGTAAGATTTTTGCATATATGGATTGTCAATTGGTTGTCACAATACATTGTAGCAGCTCCATTATGACTAATCTGAAGATTTTTCTATAAAGATACTATCTATAAAATTTCACTGTAAGTTGTAGTTATGATGCGTAAGTCTCTTTTGCTTGTGTAATATGGGATATGCTTAAAATTGAATACAAAATATGAGTAAAGACTACATGTAAGTGCACACAATCACAACAAGTAGTAAAATAATTTTCCTGCATCCTGTTTTAACAAATTTGTATTAAAAATAAAAATAGACAAATTAAGCTACACAGTTCAATAGAGAAAATCAGGGTCTGTGCGTTGAGTAACCTCAACCGCACCGCCCCTGTTACCAAATCCCACGCAAAGCTTGGAATTTTAATTAGGAAAAGTTTAGCTTTATTTGGATAAACGTACTTGTAATAATTTGGCAAATCAAAATTGAAAAAACAAGTACTGAAACTGAAATGATAGGAATAGAAAGCTGACCATTTTCCGAAAGATTTAGCAAACAGAGTAACAGACCACTTGTGATAACAGGGCTACGTCGAAAACTGTTAACTTAAAAGAAAGAAAAAGAAAAGAACCAAATAATTTTCGACCATCAGAATTCTAATCTTATAAGAAAAAGAACTACTTGAATTTTATTAATTATTTGAATTTTTTTAAAATTATTATTTTAATTTAATCTTAATAGATTCTCATTACTTTATAATTAACTTAATTCGTTTAAAATTTGATTATATAAAAAAATTATTAAAATATTATTCAGAGCTATCTGATTACTTGAATTCAAATCCGTACTCGTATCAATATATAATAATATTTTTTTCACATATTGTATATAATTTATTACTAATTAAATTAATAAAATTACATAAATAATAAAATTTAAATTTAAATAATAAAAAATAAATATCTCAAATATAATTAATAATTTTATAAGTTATATTTAAAGTAGATATATTTATGTTTAAAGCGTATATATGTTAAAAGTATTTTAATATATATATGTATAACAGTAATTATATTTCTTATAAATTAATTTAATATATATAAAGTATATATATTAAAAATATTACAAGTCAATGAATAATTATAATTTTATTAATTAATTTAATTAATTATATGAGTTTGTCCTTAATCACATGAAATTAAAAAATAACTAAGTTTCAAATCTCACAACTTCCCTTTTAAATTTACATATTATAAGTTTATATAAACAAAAGTATATATATTGTAATTAATAATTTTATAAATTATAATTTTTTTAATATTAAGACAAAATAGAAAGTAAGAATATTTATATTTAAAGTACATATATATACTAAAAGTATTTTAATATATATAATAGTAATTATATTCCTTATAA